CAAATGCTACATCAGCAAAATTATTAAACGGGGGATAAAAAAAATGAAAGACCCAATCTTCTTTTGGGGTGAAATCTTTGCTGAGCAGAGAAAAGATCAGAAGCTGAAAGGAATGACAGAAATTCTTTGGCTCCGTTCAGCTTAAAGCAGGAAGCCTGTTATTCTCTGCAGAACCAACGGAACTTACATTAGAAATATGTTATCTTCTACAAAGCCGTGTCAGAGTTTTTTGTTTGTTTGTTTGTTTTTGTTTTTGTTTTGTTTTGTTTTTTTGTTTTTTTGCTGTTTTATTAATAACCAAGACAAATTCCTCCCAACAGGTTTCCCCAAATACATGCCTCTGATGAGATCAAACAAGCCAACGGATCAGAGATCTTTTACGTGTTTTATTTCTCTTCTTCTTCATTCATGTTTATATTTAAACTCAATGTTAACTTACATTCTGTGACTGCTAAAATGATGAGTGATGCCCACTCTAAACAGTGACTTTTTTCTCTTTTGTAATTCATTTGGTGATGGAGTCATTGTCCGTTTGGAAAACCTAAAGGTATCCAACCTTTAACTTTTGGCTGATAACGTAAGATGTTTCCACACAACATTTTTCCCTCCCCCATCATGTTTCTTCCCCATGATTTTGAAGTGCACCACTCCTTCCTGCAGCAAAACACCCACACAACATGATGCGTTCTTCACATTTGGGATGGTATTCCCCGGCTTACAAGCTTCACCCTTTTTCTTCTTAAAAACGTAATGCCCACTGTGTGCTAACATTTCAATTTTAGCCTCCTCAGATGATAGGAAGTGCCTTTAAAAGTTACGATATTTGGACGTAGTGCCTTAACATAAATGCACAGGTGTGCTTCCAATTTTCTCACCTGTCATGAACAGAAACTTGCAAGGCCATGACTTTATTAGGCTTTCAATAAATTGCCTTAAGCAGTGTTGGTCAATTCTAGTCATTTTAGATGTGTCTCTGTTCCAGCACACCTAATTCAAATGATTGCATTATCTCCGCTGCATGCTATCAGACGCTGCAGAAGCCTGTAAATCACCCACTTAAAAAGTCAGGTGTTTGGCAGAAGGGATACACCTAAAACATGTAGGGTCGGGGTCCCTGAGGACCAAATTGAGAAATATTGGCTTAAAGACCCAGTAATCTTCTGAATTCAGAAAAGAAAGAAGAGAGAATTTAAATAAAGCTTTCCTTCGCTCAATACCCTGACATGTAGCATCTAAAAATATGTGGGTATTATCTAACTGGCATGAAACAAGAAAAGTGTCGTCTGATTTCTAGGTTACACCAGCTGGAAGAAGTAAGAAATCCCATTTTTTAGCACTCAGTCCTCCTAGGCAGCATCCGTGTCAAAGTACTGGAAAATTATGCAACAACTGCAGATTATGAGTACAGAATAATATGTAATTTTTTTTCCATTTTGTGAGCTGAACTTGCGCTCTAACAAACCAGTCACAAAAATTCAAACATCAATCTCGGCCATGTACATCACTGTTTGCTTCAGACTTAGAGGGTTTTTTTCTTTTTCTGTTTCATTGTGCTTTTTTTTTTTTTTTTGAAAGCCTGCTGTTGAAAGCCCATCCCTGTTTTTGTGTCAGCATAAATTCATTTGAAGAAAAAAAAAATTCCAGATAGTATCTTAAAAAAAATACACCTGATTTAGAGTAATTTGGGCTCCTGTGACCCATTTGATTATGTTAATTTTCCTGTCTGTGAGGACCAAACATAAGCTCCTGTGCAAACAACAAGGTGAGATAACAGAATTTGAAAATAAATATTTTTTTTTATCATGATGGAAAGTCTTGAGAGACATAATTTACCACCATCAAACACCCGGTATTTAGGTCAGGGTTAATTAAACTAATGAGCGCAACTTATCAGGAAGCAGAGGGAGCTCCCATGCAGGTCTGCAGCCTGAATAGATTCAACCCGACATCCTGGAGCATGCAGGACTCTTGTCTGTTTACTGTGACAGCTTTCAAGCTGGGGGGGACGAAAAACAATAAAATAAAAAGATGTTTTATAAACCCCGCCGTACTGCAAAAAGCACTGCCATGGACACACTTGACGCTGAAGAACTTTTCTGCACAGAACACCTGAGGAAGAAGCTGTCACCGACAACTCCAGCGCAACTGTGAGAGACCCCTAAAAGGTCAGCAGCGTGGGGCTTGATGAAGGATGTCAGAAGACTCCCTGCAGGTTGGAAGATGCCCGACACTCTGCTCCGTCTGCTGCGCTTCCTTCCATACGCCGCTCTGCCTCCCACACAGACATTACAACCACAGTGCAGCGAGAGTTGTGCAACTGCGTCTGGTTACCTGATGACTGTCAGAAGCATCTGACAAATAAACATTCTTCCGAATCAAAACACAGGGCCTCGCGTACGCAGCCCTGAAGCCCTGAAGGTGCGATGCAGAGTACCCGCTTCTCGTGAGGTGGAGTTATTTGTGCAGACGACTGGGAAGTTATGAGAAGTTCTTCTCTGGGCCAGAAATCTCTTAAGTTATTAGTGTTTAACAGCGTGGGAGAGACTCTCCGCTGCCAGATCCAAACTGCTTCTTGCTGAGGGAGGCTGCTCTGTCACCCCAGAGGCATAAAGCCAGTGTTTTTATTCTCCGTTCGCACTCCTAAGTTGTACTTTAAAAAAAAAAAAGTGGATTTAAGCTTATAACTTTATGAAGAATTTGACAACCAGTGAATTTGCTGGATGTTGCTGTGAGTTGCTGTGACTCCAGCATGTGATACTGACGTCCTCAGCACAACAAAATATACTTTAGAAAATATGACCCGAAAGAAAATAAAAAGAAACAACAACTGATGGACAACAAAGTAGAACCAGCTGAAAAACGGCAATGAAACTCGACAACAGTCACTACTGTTTACAAAATCGCAAAACATTTACTTATAAAGAGCATATACAATTCAGCTCAAAGTTATTGACACTGCTGGTAAATTAAGCCACACTTTTTTCATGTCAAGATTTGTAACTTTCCCCACCTTGTGTCATTTGTACTTTCTCTACATTATTCTTTCTTGAACCAATGTTGGTCTGTGAAATGTTGTTTTTTTCACATCTTTTCAGTCCCAAACATTCTCATGGGTAAATGTTTTGTTTGGGCAATTTAAACCTGACCTACTACTCGTTTCAGTATGTAGAACATGAAGATTTGAGGAGTGATTTCAAAACTTTTGCTCCACATAGACTCTCTTTAACCTCACAAACTCAGTAGTAATCCTCCAATTCTGGGATCAATACATCTTATCTTATCTTATCTTATCTTATCTTATCTTGTTCAGTTATATTTTTTCTCCATGTAAACAACTGGGGATTAAACACTCCTTATAAACAGCTGAAGTTTTAAACCCTGATTTTACAAGAAAAGCATGACATGCATACTGCAACCAATTGCCTTCTGAAGGATGGCTACCGATCATCCTCTACACAAAAGCCAGACTTAAAGGAAGAGCAACAAGAGCAAAGACACTGTTGAAGGAAAACCATAAGCAATCCTGCAAGCCATCAAGACGATAAGGCAAACATATCGAGGAAGTTGTTCTAGTGAGACGAGAGCAAAACAGAACTGTCTGGCCTCCTGCAAACAAGAGGCCAAACAATGACTATGCAATGCTCATGCAAGACCATGCAATGGTCGTTTGCATGGTCAGTATGCAAAAGGCCATGTGACATAAAACTAACACACACTGAATACACTGAATTTACCACCAAACTTTGAAACGTGGTGGGGATAGCGTCATGCTACTCAGTCTGACTGAGCTCTAGTGATTTTACAAAGAACAATGGACAAGGGTTTGAGTCTTTGGATGTGCCAATCTGGTAGAGACACGCCCATAATTTATGATCCAATTTGCCTTGCTTCTGAAATCTTCAACAAATTCATTGATGTTTTAAAAAATGTTTTATGTTTTTATATTCAATTTCTTCATCCAACTGTAAAATCCCTTGTTGAATATTAGAAACTTTAAAGATTTATGTAGCTTCAGTAGCTAAAATAAAAAAAAGTGAAATATTGTATGATTGATTTTATGTATTTAGCAGACTCATGGTCCACATAGGAAATATTACTTTCAGAATTTTCTTTACAGTTTTTTTTTTCTTTACTGTTTTGTTTATTGAAAAGGGAAATTCTGACTTATTTATACCAGGAGTCATATTGAATGCGTTTGGTGTTATCTGTACCGCAGTGTTCCACAGATCTGTCAGAGAGAAAGGATATCTCATAAGTAAACAGGTCCCCACCCAATAAAAAGATAGAGTAAAAGTGTACAGCTCTTCAACAGCATTTTCAAGACATCCCATGGTGACGGAAAAAAGAAAAAAAAAGAGAGTGTATTAGCAGGCCTGTCATGTAACGAGTGGCAGGATATATTACAGCTGGAAGCGGTTTTAAAACAAGTTGGAGCCCTTCCAGGAAAGTCTCAGAGCAATATCTTCAGTCGTATGGCTTGGAAAAGGCATTCTGCTGCTGTTGCTACTGGCAGTAGAGTTACTGACAATATTTAATACTGTATAGATTTTACCTGCTGGGAAATCATTTCACAAGGTCTGTGGGGCTTCAATAAAACTAGAATACAAATGTCAGCTGTTGTGAAAGTCCACAAACTTTGTTCTACAATAGTTTCTTCCAAACAACAGATGTGACCCGTGTAATTTTATTATTATTATCTATCATTAAATGTCATTTGTGTAATTCAAATGCTTTTAAAATAATCACGGCCCAACTCTAGACAGTTGTTTAACAGAGAAAATGGGTTCAAATAGGTAAAATGTAAGAGAAACACTGCCATCATGTGGTAAAATGTAAAAACGACCAATACTAAAAATAAAGCCTAACATAACTAACTGTGTAGTCGTTTGTAACATTGTAAGTTAAATTGCACACATACAAGTAAACACCAATAGTTATTTAGTCACAGTTATTGTGTTTTAATTAGAACAGTCTTTCAGCGGAACCTCACAGAGCCGTTTATATGTTGCTAGTCGGACTTGTATTCCAGTTACACTGAAACCAACGCTACTTGCTGGAGAGAAGCCTGCTCAGCGTAGTGTTTTGGTCATGTTGAAGAATGTTCTGAGCAGGTTGGTGACAGAAACAGGTCGTGTTCACCGTCATGTGAATCGCGCTTCGTCCATACAGACGCTGACAACCTGCCGTGTGTCGGTGAGGAGCTTCGCCGAGGTGAAGGACGAGGTGCAGCTTCCTTTCGACTCCTCCCTGCTGGAAGTACTGGTCTGTCCGCTGTCCAAGAAGCCACTGAGGTAAACAGGTGACTGGGTTTCTCTCTGAAGGGTGTCGGGGGCAGAAAGGTACATTTGAGATTGAAACAGTGAGACTGATTTAACAGGACGACGGGGACGTCGGCATCCGACTTGATTAAAGGGCTATTCCGCTGCTTTTAACGGCCCCGAACAAACTATAATCTTAGTTCCCAAAATAAAATGCTCACCTGAATTTGACTATAGATAAACGAATTTTATCCCGAAACCACCTCAGTCAGAGGTACTCTATAATCTGCTCTCAAAAAACAACCATAAAATAAACAACCTTTTGTCAATTCCTTTCTTTTTCGCACAGGTGCGCTACCTACTAATGCTACCTACCTACCTACAACGGCACAAAATTGCAATACTTAGACATGTCAAAAATGTATTCTACATTAAAGACAGCTTATAGAAAATCCAGGTTTTTAATTAATTAACCTGTACTAAATTTATAACTCAAAAAAGAGCCACGGTAAAGCCTTTTTTTTTCATAATCTTGAATAGGGTTCAACCTGAAAACTTAAACTACTTAGAAAGGTGACTAGTATAATTTTTATTTGCACATTTTCCAGTAGGCAGTAATGGTGATTTGTGTATTTAGTTTATGAAAACTCAAGGATGCTATAGCTCATCTGGCTTCTTACCAATTAGCTTTCAAGCTAAAAAACAAAACAAAAAAGAAGACCTTAGAATTTGCCTTTTTGTAATCTGAACCCAGACTGCTACAGTATAAAATGGCAAAGCGCTGAATCCCATGTCTCACTGTATAAGTTTGCAAGCATACAAGTTATATGATGTTTTCTTAAGTCATTCTGTAGTATTTTTTTTACACCAGAAAATAAGCAAATTGATAAGGAAATAAAATCAAAGTATTATTGTAGAATGCATTCATAAAAACCTTCTCGTTTGTGTATAGTAGCAGGTGGTCATGGCAGAATAACACGTCTTCTCCATCTCCAGGTACGACGCCAACACCAATGAGCTGATCAACGAGGAGCTCGGCATCGCTTATCCCATCGTTGACGGCATTCCAAACATGATCCCGCAGGAGGCCAGGCTGATACAGAAAGACACTCAAACTCCAAAGACACCTGCAGAGTAGAATATCTTTGTTGGACCGAACTCTAACTAACATACATCTATCCTCTGACTGACTTAGTGATTTGAATCCAGTGGTGGGTTATTGTTGAACTGCCAGAATGTTCTCCCTGTCCATGATGGTGGGACTGGTTCCCATTGTGTCTCTTTGTGGTTTGTTCTTCTCTGCCGCTGTGGATGAGAACTTCCCTCAGGGCTGCACCAGCAGCAACAGTCTGTGTTTCTACAGCCTGCTGCTGCCGGTCACCATCCCAGTCTATGTCTTCTTCCACCTTTGGAGCTGGATGGGGATCAAGCTCTTCAGGCACAACTAGACTTAGAATGTTAAAGGTTCTCATCCAGAAAAATTTATATATTTTCTGACGTAACTTGGGATTTTTCAGCTCCTTGAGTTCATGCTTGATACGTATTTTTCAAACAACAATGCAGAGCTCTTAGAAATCTGCCAAGATGGAGGTATTCTGGATTTTTTTTTCTGTACCCCGACACTAGTCTCAGTGTAAATGTCAAACGCCTGTGTATACAACCTAAAGCTTCTGTTTCTATAGAGATTAAACAAATAAATCTGTGCTGAATCCTCTTGAGAAATTTGTAGCCTGTTTTTATAGTGAAAGGAAGTGAACCGCACTATCTTTTCAATAAATTAACTTTAATAGATAAAAGGCAATTTTCTTACATAACAAATTCACGAACTACAGTTTGTCAAATATAAAAATTGGCGTTGGAGAATTTCTTAAACTTCAAAGCTTGTAACAAAATAACTGTAGAAAATGTAACATTGACAGAATGAACTAGAAATTCATACAAAGTTTATGGTTGGAACTGCAAAAGGCAACTGATTTTTAACCACTTGGTGTAAGTTAAAACAATAGTACCTGCTAAATTATTACTGACAACAATGGCTCTTAAGCTCATGTCACAAGCATGCTGAGAGAAATCCAGATGGTCTAAGCCCTCTTGCTACAAAAATGAGATGAGCTCAAACTTTTCATTTTCTTCCTGAATGGCACTTCTTGGATTCAACATCTCTTCCCCGAGCGAGTTTCATCAGCGGCGAATACGGACGAGGCGAGTGCCCCTCTCCCTTTGTCTTGAAGAAGAAGGGCTTGTTGAGTCTCAGCTGAACCACTCCGACCTGAAATCCGAGAAAAAGAAAAAGATCAGCAGTGGCACAACACCATCACTGACTCTGTTTTTGTGTAAACATAATAGTAAGATGTCTAACCGCGAAAAACAGTATGGAAAGTGTGGAAAGTATTTTCCAGGTCTAGATGAGGACAGAAATGACTGATTTCCTCACATCCTTAAAGGGGAAACAAATTCTATAAATTGTGCATTTAAAATGTATGTAGTAATTAAAAATTATTGAAATATCTCTCAAGTTTGATTGTGAATGAGGTATTTTTTGCTAGTTTAGTAAAACAATTAAAGCTCCTTACCTACATAAAAACTCAAAAACAAAAGGTAGCAATATATTTATCTAAAGGTGCGTCTTGATGAACTAGAATGTCATTGAAAAACATTTCCAGAAGAACAATGTTAACTTACTAAATCCAATTTGAATTTGACGAGTGTTTGTGATCAAGGTTTCTACCATCTACCTTGAAACTACGACGAAAAGTTTGTTTGGAGCAGCCAATGTGAACCTTTTCGACCTCATCACTCACACACAATGCTGTTAGTGGTATTGGTGCAGAAAGCAACATTGATGCTCCATGGATGTTTCTTCCGCTTCCCTTCGAATGGGTGTCCCAAGAGTGCAATGATCCCCAAACTCAGATCAAAGCTGGTTTCAATTGACTCCACCAATCAAACACTGAGCCCAGAATTATAGCGAAAGGTTGTTAATTTGATATATTTGACCCTGTATGTAAAATGTGACCTTATCTGGCTTAATAAAATAAATAAATAAATTCAAGCTCATGAACTTTGTGCTTGTTTTTAAAGTAAAAGTCGTGTAATTATTCAATGCAGGAAAATAAATGAAAATAAATTTTCAAATAAATTATGAAAAGCCCCAAGTTATATTCAAGGCTCCTAATAAGAGTCTGTTTAAATTGCTCACCAAAACTGTACGCCAATTAGCATCAGTAGGTAGCACACAAATCAATTATTTTGTGCACATTGGTAGTGTCATATAAGATCAACTAAAATTTCACCTAAAGTATAGAGAATTTTGTTTTTACAGCCAACCAGTGAATTGGTTTGCACAAATCAGCATTTTTTTTTTTTTTATTATTTGCTTATTTTCAAAGATATGATTGTAAATGCCTGAGTCTGAGTGGTGTCACCTGGCTCACATCTTTCTTCCCAGCGTGGCAGTGGTGGTCGTCCTCACTGGAGGTAGTGGTGTTGACCGACTTGGTTTCAGCTTCTGACTGAGGGCTCGGAGTGTTTTCACATGAGGGTTCCTTCTTAGCCGCTGCTGCATTCTGCTCAGGACTTTTTTTTGCTTTGTGTTTTCTGTAGACCTCACGTGTCTTCCCTTGCTCTCCCCTCGCTCTCTGTGGCAAGCTAAGATCCAAAGGTTTCATGTTCTGAGATTCCGAAGTGGCTCTGTTTTTCTGGCAGAAGCGGAGGTAGGAGGAGAGCTCGGCGGTGAAGAAGTTTTCAGTCTGAGTTGAAGTGTTTGCTAAAGCAGGACACGGGGGCGGCTCACCAATGTCCAGACGATCTGAGCAGCATCGTTTGATCAGCACACCGTCCGGGGTTGGGTTTACAATCATCGGATCATCCAAGAAAGGATTGTGCTTCTCATGTTGAGATGCTGCTTTCTCTCCAGCTTGGCTCGAGTGTTTATGAAGCGGATCGATTTCTTCCTCCCGGTCTGTTTTTGTTTCCCGCACACACAGATGTATTGCTCCGTCCTGTCCTTTATCTGATGTTTCATTACATTGTTTTCTCTCTCCCACAGCAGAGTGCCGGTTCTTGTCTTGCTGAGGGGATGCAGAAATAATTCCGTCACTGGATTCGCTGCCGGAAGAGTCCGGGCTTCTCGCTCTGAACGTCTTCTGGGTGATGAACAGGTCCTGGCTGTTTATATCATCACTGTTGTACTGAAAGTCATTGTCATGTGGTTTAATCTGGCTTTTTCCCATCACCTGGGAGCAGCTCTCGCCTTTTCTCGCGGCTTCCATGTCTTTTGGTGACGAAGAGGTGAAGATTGGACGCTTGACACGTATGTAGGAGGGCAACCCAAACGCCACCATCTTCTTTTTCTTGGTTTCTTTCACAGATTTTCCAGATAAAGAGTTTAGCGTCTCGTTTTGGCAAGTGGCAAGCTTTTCACCACCCTCGAAGAGCTTCAGATCAAGATTCAATGCTAATTTGTTTTTCTTTTTTTCCTTCCCTTTCTTCTTGTCCCTATCTTTTTCCTTCTTCTTTTCTTTTTTCTTTTCCTTCTTTGCCATTATGGCTTCTTTGAATTTGGAGTTTTTCTTTTCCTTCTGGACACTCTCCTTTATCTTTGTGGGACTGCGCGTTTTATGTTTTGCAGTTTTCTTGTTCTTCTTGTAGTCTTTCTTTGGTTTACTTTTCAATGGTGAAGGCCAAAGTCCTTTGAAGAAGTCTGCAGCCTCACAGTCACTCATGGCTCTTGGACAAAAGACAGAAAAAAGACACACATTATTCTAGATAAACGCATGTATAACTTTATCCTGAGAGGTTACCAAGCTTTGAGTATTTTTTGAAAGCTTTCAAAAGATTTGTTATATCCCATTTTTTACAACTGAAAAGATTTGAAGACACAATGCATGCGCAAAGGTGAAACATGTTACAAATACAAAGCTGAAATCGAGTGAACAGAACATCCGGGAAATGTTCCACACTAATCTTTAAAAACCAGACACTTCATTCCGGCAACTTGTTAAACAGTAACTGCTCAGAAAATTATATTGTAGACTTTATGTTTATTAGAATATCCCGTATTTAGGATATTAGCTTAGCCTGATACAGAAGCTAGTGCTTCGTAAGCACGTCAATGAGAGATATTCAACATTGCAACATCTCAAAAAATGTACCACATAGAAATACTCCTAAGACGGACGGAACTATTGTAATAAGCTAACTGCGTAAGTTTAATGTAAGTTGTTACATTAAAAAGTAACAACTTAAAATTGCCGCGGTCCAGAGAATTACCAATCACAAACAAAATTGTAAAAAAAAAAAAAAGGAATATTTTTTTACACATCTAGTTTCTTCTTATACATTTAGCTCCCTATTTTTTGTTTTTCCAAGCTGGTAATTCAACTGTCTCCTGTATATTTTACTTTACTTACCAGAAAACTGCTGGTAGTAGCATGAGATAAAAAGGATTTAGCAAACTCACCGGCTGAAGCCAACAAGACTTGGTGTCTTTAGGACCTCAATAGGTCCTTCACCAATAGGACCTTCACCAATAGGACCTCTCTCTCTCTCTCTCTCTTTCTCTCTCTCTCTCTCTTTTACCACTCAGTGCTTATTTTTGCCTAATTATATGCTTCATACGGGTTGAAATTTAGGTAAAAACGATATGAAACGCTTTTTGATATTATAACTACCTTCGAAGAGAAGTTTCAGTGGCCCAGTCAGCGATTTCACCTCAAAGAGGCCGCCGCCTCTGCTCGTGGTGCTTTCAAGTACACCACGTAAAGCTGGTGTCTAACTATTTGCATTTTCACTTTTTAAATCTAAATTTAGCAATAAGTTTTATTTAACTAATATTTGAGAAAATTTAATTTGAGTTCTGTTAAAAAGAAGTTTTACTCATGAGTGTAAGTCTTTAATCAATGTTTAATTTCCACCTGAAGGAGGCTAATCTTTTCAATTATGTAAAAATAGTTTGGACCACTGTCGCCATGGGCGCTTACTATGTGCATTTTCAGTTTACAAGAACAGGCTTCGGAATCAAACGCATTTAAAGAAATTCACTAATATGTACACACACAGTCATATTCAATAAATGCTTTTTGATGAGGCTCACTTTTCACATTAAAGCCGCCTCATTAAAATAACCCTTAAACATACTTTTCATTAAAACCATATTTTTTTGTACTATAATTTTTTTTATATATAGGTTTGATGTAATATTCTAATTTTATGTTATGTTTTTGTTACTGAAAAAAACATAAAATCATAATGATAAAGAGAAACAAAGTTTGGAAAATACCAGGAACTATAGAGATATAGTTCCTGAAATAAATTGACTTTTCAGTAATATTCTGACTTATTCTGAAATCTTAAACAATCTGCAAACAAAAGAGTCTTAGCATAAAAAACAAGAATTTGTAATTTGCTTTTAGCGTTCATACATTATTTCTGATCAATTGCGTGAATAATCCAAATAAACCGTCTACCTCCACTCCTCCTACTCTATATGATCACACTCACTGCTATGCTGTGACTCAGACTTTCTCTGCAAGTCAGTTAAAGCTTGAAACTTTCTCTGACAGAGACCGCCTGGGGGTGATCCTAAGTGGGCTAAAACATATTTTAGACAACACAGCGGCCTGTTTTTAGTGATATTGTTCAAGCCCACTGATTGGTTTGTAAACCAATAGGCTGCTAATCTCATCCAAAAAGTCGATCTTCGTAGAAAACTTGC